CCCATCACTTTTCCCAGCCACACAAGATGGTGACCTTTGTCCTTCATCTTAGTACATGTATCTTGTCCCATAATCAACAGAGCAGAAAAAAATGAATTCCAGTCAGTGCTCCTCTTCCTAGTGGTACCCTAATGGCTGCATGGGATTCCCACATAGTCCCCAAGTCAGAGCTATGTTAGAATTCCTGGTTGGGAATTGCCCTTAGAAGCTTATCATGAGCTTCAAAAAGGGTCACCTTCTTAATGTTGAACTCCTCATGCTTCATCCAGCACATATTCATTGATCCTCTTCTATGATCCAGGAAGTGTTCTAGATTCTAGGGGTTCAGCAATACTGTACAAAGACAAAATTATTCTCATCTCTGGGGAGTGAACATTTTAGGTATTGGGCTCAGCTCCTTAAGCCCATCTTTATGTATTGTGGGCCCCTGGACAAAAATTGTCACTGTGGGTTCTCTTTACATCCTTGTGGTTTTAAAAGAAACATGTTTTAGGACCCTCGATGGAGTCTGCAGCTTCTGCACTCAGGTTGAAGCCCAGTAGAGTCCAGTTCTGAGGACCTGTGGATTCAGAGAGGGTGGGCTTGAGAGTCTGCTGGCCATCCCTCCCACTCCATCTCACTCGGTCCACATGTGGGTTGTTCTCTGGACCATAGGGGAAGTTCCCTTGTCATTGAAGTGAAAAGATACAATGTGGGTGGGTGCTTGATCTCCATTCATAGGGACCACTTTGAGCTCAGAGTCCTCTCCCCATCTGCTTCTTCTTTGGGTCAGTTTCTCATGGAGGTGTGCGTGAAAAGCTGCAGAAAGTCAACGTGGAGCTGGTTGAACGGAGTAGGTGCTCCGAAAATATGCCTATGGTCACCTGGGACATGCTGTGTACTAGGAGCGCTGAAGATTGGAAGGATGCCTGCCAGGTAATGGAGCTGGGGAGGGTCACAGGAAATGCTGTGAAGATCACGTTCTCCATCGCCATCTCTTACACCTGTTCGGTGCTCAATAGCACACAAACCGCTCCCACAAATACATGAAAGGGTTAAGCACTGGCCCTGGGAAGCAGGCCTATTTCAGATGGGGAGACTGAGGATCAGGGAAGCCAGCAGTCCTGAGGAGGACACACAGCGAGGTAAATTACAGACCCAGAATTCTAAGGAAGGCAAGCTGACTTCTGGGGTTAGAGCCACCTTTGGGATTCCAGTAGAAATGGGGCTCCAATGCCAGCTGCCCAGCCTGCTAGTGCACAGATTTGGCTGCTCATGAATCAAAAAGGTGGTGGGAGCCGCCCCTGAGTACTGGTTCTCCACGTATCTGGGCCCAGCTTAGTGCTACACATGTGTCATTTCCTTCCATTCACACAGCCGTCCTGCAGGAGATGTGCAGTTATTATCACCAGCATAAAAACCACGCTGAGGAAGATTTTCACATTCTCTCAGCTAAAGCTTGTCCCTGGGATTGGAACCAAGGTCTATTTGGCTCCAGAAATTTAGGTTCTTTTTTTTTTTTAAAAAATCTATTTTTATTGATTTCAGAGAGGAAGGGATAGGGAGAGAGAGACAGAAACATCAATGATGCGAGGGAATCATTGATCAGGTACCTCCTGCATGCCCACACTGAAAACCAAGCCTGCAACCTGGGCCTGTGCCCTTGACGGGAATCAAACCCAGGGCCCTTCAGTCCACAGGCCGAAGCTCTATTTGTTGAGCCAAACCAGGTAGGGACAAAAATTTAGATTCTGGACTGTGTTCTGCTGAAGATCTTTCATTGAGATCCTCCCTTCTCCAGAGAAGTGATTGCGATTCATTTTAAAGAAAGGCCATGGGATTTTCCCATGACTTCAACGAACCTGGTAAAGGAGAGTTTGGATGATGATGGTCACAGCAAGTAAGATGATGGGCACAGCATCTTCTTCATGACAACATTCTGGTGAAAAGAAATCAAAGCATGTCCTGTTTTTGTTTGTTAACAGTTTTGCATTAGAATTTTTGCATATTATTAAATATTCAACTTTTTTGTGTCACTTAATATTTTCAAAGATAACTCTTTGTAAGCCGTGAAATCATATGTACTGCCTGGTCCTATTTCTGTAAAATAATAATGACGTATGTACATTTGCATGCATAACGATGTGGAAAGTTGACTCAGGCGTTTTCTCTGCATGGTTGGAATCACAAATGTTACTTATTGCACTTATTTGAATAGGTTGTAAAGAAAATTCAAGCAGTGAAGATGGCGCACAGTTTACCTTTTATATGCCCCAGAGAAACCATTGCTATAGAGTCCCATAGTCTACCCAAAACATTCTTCTTACACACAATCATGTGTCTATGTATAAATTTAATTATTTATATAATTATGGGTATTCTTCATGTTGTTTTTCCATATCTGAGTTTTCTCACCTCTTTTGATTGAAGAAACCTTATTCTTCAATAGAATTTAAGAAATGATCCAAAAGGTTTAAGGCAAGAAAAGTGATGTAGGCATCAATTTTCACGTCAATGATGTCTGTTTTGTTGATCTGTGCTTATTTGGCAATCTTTTTCAAGATGTTCTTTTCTTTATCTATTGTTGACTATTACAGATGTCCCCCATTCCCACTATTTTAACCACCTCCACCCATCCCCCCTCCCTCTGGCCATCACCAAACTGTTACCCATTTCCGTGGGCTACGCATATATGTTCTTTGGCTAATCTCTTCACCTTCTTTCATTCAGTGCCCCCTACATCCTCCTCTCCTCTGACCTCTGTCAGTCTGTTCCGTGCCTCTGGTTCTATTTTGTTTATCAGTTTATTTTTTTTCATTATATTCCACATATAAGTGAGATCGTGTGGTATTTGTCTCTCTCTTGCTTATTTCACTAAGCACAATAATCTCCAGGTCCATCCATGCTGTAACAAAAGGTGAGAGTTCCTTCTTTTCATAGCTTCGTAGTATTCCATGGTGTAAATGTACCACAGCTCTTTTACCCACTTGTCTACTGATGGGCACTTGGGCTGTTTCCAGATCTTAGCTCTTGTAAATAATGCTTTAATGAACATAGCGGTGCATATATTATTTCGGACTGATGTTTTGGGAGTCTTAGCATATATTCCCAGAATTGGGGTCACTGGGTCCAAAGGCAGTTCCAGTTTTAATTTTTTGAGCAAACTCCATACTGTTTTTCTCAGTGGCTGTACCAGTCTGCATTCCCACCAGCAATGCATGGGGTTCCCTTTTCTCCACAGCCTCGCCAGCACTTGTTTGCTGATTTATTGATAGTGGTCATTCTGACAGATGTGAGATGATATTTTTTAAAGTGTAAATTGTTTAAAGTTTCATGTTTTAAACTATAACACTTAAGTGCATGGTTGGAATTACATATATATATATATATCTGTTATAGTCAACCAATAATCTATAATGGGGCACTTTTTGCTGTGGTAAACAATCCAGAAAGAGCAAGATGGGCTGGCTGAAAGTGGCTTTGAAGTAAAAAGGCAGGGGGACTATTGGAAGAATTCCAGAAAAAAAAGTGCTTACAGGCAACATGAATTAGCAACTCACTTCTTTGTACATCAAAAAAAATGCACAGGACTGGCTGAGGATTGTGATGAATATTCCCTTTTTGACCATATTGTCACTCACCATCATTGTTTTTGACCAAATTGCTTGTCACTCTTTCTGACAGTCACAGATCTGGGAACATAGCCATGTAGTTGGAGAGTCTAATCAAAATTTAAAATGTCTGCTCATCAAAAGATGCTCTAAGTGCTTCTTGCCTTGTACCAGTTGCCTACACAATAGGCTATAGAGCAGTGGTTCTCAACCTTCCTAATGCCGTGACCCTTTAATACAGTTCTTCATGTTGTGGTGACCCCAACCATAAAATTATTTTCGTTGCTACTTCATAACTGTAATTTTGCTACTGTTGTGAATCGTGATGTAAATATCTGATATGCAGGATGTATTTTCATTGTTACAAATTGAACATAATTAAAGCATAGTGATTAATCACAAAAACACTTGTAATTATATATGTGTTTTCCGATGGTCTTAGGCGACCCTGTGAAAGGGTCGTTCCACAGGTTGAGAACCGCTGCTATAGAGTAACTTGTTACTGTCCCTTCTATTCCCAAACAACTTTTCTCTCCTAGGGTGACAGCGGGGGGGCTCTGGTTTGCCAGAAAAATAACAAAAGCCCATGGTACCAGCTGGGCATTGTCAGCTGGAATGTGAACTGTGGCGAGAAGAATGTGATTGGAGTGTACACGAAGGTGGCTAATTACCTGTTATGGATGTTTGAGGAGACCACAGCAGCAGGAAACTCCTTCGTGCCTGATCCAGACTCTGGGTACAACTTGCTTCTGTCACCATCGCCCATCTTGTTACTCTCTTTTGTGATGCTTCGGTTAACCCTGTGACTAAACACTGTATTACCTCAAAACCAAGTGTCCTTCTCAGTTTGTGGAGTAAGGTCGAGGGCGCAGTGAAGGCTGTGAGGAGAGATTCGCATATGATTAGTTGTACCTGAAGTAATCATATACATAGAGGGGCGCTTAAAAAACCCGGGACCCACAACCACGCCTTTTGTTCCCCTGGATCTTGGGGTAAGTTACAAATTTCAGCCTGAGTCCTTTCCACAGGCTTGGGTGGAGCATCCCTCCATGGGATCTCTGAAACAGAAAGCCTATTCTTCCCTCTCTTACAAACAGGTATCCTTCCACAACTTATTTCATCTTCCAAAGGTGTTGGTAGCTCTCAATTTTCTTTTGCTCCTGAAGTAAGAAACATTCCAACTCCTCTCCCATCATTTGTAGCTCATCCCTGAGACCTACAGACTTGGTTTCCAGAAAGATCCTTGTTCTTTGCCCTCCTTCGCTTCCATATCTACCATCTGGTTCAGAGTCTCCATAAATGCTGCTTTTGGCTCTTATAGATCATGGGCCATGATGCTAAGATTCAGGACCAGGAAATTATTGAAGCAGAAAGGTCCTAGAGATACAATGGGAAAAGAACACATTGTGAATGGGTTATGGTAACCAAGGCACCTATGCCTGCAAGTATCAGATATGGAACCTGAAGCAAACAAGGAAGTGAGTAATATACTGGGGTGGGTAGCACAGAATCAAAGGAAGAGCAGCACAGACTTGGGAGGCTGTTCTAGCAAACAGCTCTAAGTGGGACTTAATCTGGGGTGCATTTGGGCCATCAGGAAGGGTGGGTAGACTCTCTATCCTTCATGCAATCAGCCATGAGCATAATTCCTCCAACCAGGCTAGACATGCTAAGTGGCATTCTTCTCTTCTGAGGCAACTCAGAACAGTTTTGAAGAGAGAGGGGAAAGCGGTAGAATATTCAAAAAGATGTGTGTATTCCTTTGAATTTGCCTTTAGTGGAATTCATTGAACTGTGAACAAAGATGTAAAATGAAAAAGAAAATTCGACCTTTGTGCATATGCAATTTGAGAGGGGAGAAAAGAGGATGACATTTGTCTTCTCTGTCTGACTTATTTCACTTAGTATAATACCCTTTATGTCCATCCATGTTGTCACAAATGGCAAGATTTCATTTTTTTTCATGGCCAAGTAATATTGTGTTGTATATACGTACCACATCTCCTTCATCTACTCATCTAATGGGCACTTGGGCTGCCTTCATATCTTGGCTATTGTAAATTACATTGCAATAAACGTAGAGGTGCATATATATTTTTGAATTAGTGGTTTTTACTCATTGAAATTATACCCAGAAGTGGAATTGCTGGGACATAAGGTAGTTCTATTTTTAACTTTTTGAGGAACCTCCATACTGTTTTCCGTGGTGGTTGCATCAATTTGCAATCCCACCACTAGGTGGGTACTAGAATTATCAAGGAGAATCACTTCATAAATTATGTAAATATCTAACAAATATTGTACACCTGAAACTAATATGAAATAGTATTAAATGTCAACTGTAATTGAAAAATTAAAAAAGAAAAGAGGAGGAAAAGACAGTTTATCTACATTGGCCTTCATCAACTGCATCAGAACAGGACAGCTTGGCTGTCTCTGAATCTAGAGAGAGGGTGATTGGAGCAGCATTTAAGTGAGCAAGAATGGGAAGAATCAGTATACAGTTATGTTTTGCCAAACCTGCAAAGTTACCACAGGAATTTTGGCTTATTGGTAGGCAAGGAAATATGTCCAGGAGCAGATGGGTTAGGGTCCCAGAGAAGGTAGGTTTAAAAATTTCCTCTTGCCCAGCCAGTGTGATTCAGTAGTTGATCACTGACCTATTAACCAGGAGTTCGTGGTTCAATTCCCGATCAGGGCACGTGTCCAGGTTTCAGGCTCGTTCTCCAGGGTGGGGTGTGCAGGAGGCAGCTGATCAATGATTCTCTTTCATCATTGATGTTTCTCTCTCTCTCCCTCTTCCTTCCTCTCTGAAGTCTATAAAAATATATTTTTTAAAATTTTCTCTTTTTGTGAAGAGGCAGTGATACAGCCCGGCCTTCCAGTTGAGAAGCAGAGGCTGAAAGAGACTGAGGCCCAGGTCTAGTGCCCTCACCTCAGGACAGCAGGCTGACAGAGAAGAGGAAACAGGCAGGCCCCTCAGCCAGGCTCCTATGAAAGGAAGTCTGTGCAAAAAAGGGTGCTGCTTTTTGTCAAACTATGATGTTTATCAATCCTGAAAGGAGGAAATGCGAGATCAGATTAGGGTTTTTCCCCTTCAAATTAAGGTATAATTTAAACAGAGAGAAATGCCTCGATCTTAAGTATATTATTTGATGAATTTTTAAAATGCTTATAGCCATGTAAACCCACACTCCTATCAAGATATCGAACACTTCCATCACCATGAAAGACACTTCGAGTCCTTCCCCTACCAACTCCAACTTGCGACCACACTCCATCCAACCCCCCAAGGTCAGAAACCATTCTTGCTTTTTTCACGGGGCATTAGTTTTGCCTGTTATAGAACTTTCTATTAATGGAGTAACAGTATGTACTTTCTCATGTCTGCTTCCCTTAATTTAACATAATAGTTTTGAGGTTAATTCATGTTGTTGCATGTGTGTGTGTAGCTCTCTCCTTAATGCTGCTGAGTGGTATTCCACATGCATCTTGATGAACACCTGAACTGTTTCCAGTTTGGGGCTATTATTTAAAAAGGAAAATGGCCGAAACCGGTTTGTCTCAGTGGATGGAGCGTCGGCTTGCGGACTGAAGGGTCCCAGGTTCGATTCCGGTCGGGGGCATGTGCCTGGGTTGCGGGCACATCCCCAGTGGGGGATGTGCAGGAGGCAGCTGATCGATGTTTCTCTCTCATCAATGTTTCTAACTCTCTATCTCTCTCCCTTCCTCTCTGTAAAGAATCAATAAAATATATTTAAAAAAAATAAAAAGAAAAATGACTATGAAGGGTCTTGTGACAAGTGTTTTTGTGTAGATGTTTCTATTTCTCTTGGGTAAATACCTAGAAGTAAAATTTGGGGATCATATGGAAGAAACTGACCATTAAATAGGGACACCCACATTGGAATGTTACTTGAACAAAATATAAAATGTGTTGTATTAAGCCTTTAAAATTTTGTGTTACAGCAAGTCGTGTTACCATATTTACCAAACTCAGCATACCTGACAACCTATGTAGCAGCTGTCATCTGAGAAGGGGGGCAGTGTTAGATGCTGAGCATCAGTGATTAATATAGAGGTAATCCTGAAAAACTAAAGTCATCCTGGAAAGTCAAAGGCCAGAGGTGTTGACTATTAGAAGTATGATGGACACAGGAATTGTGGTAAGTAACAGGACCGGGAAAATCATTGTAATAGTGTGAACAGCAGGGATCTTGGGCAGTGGTCACTAGTAATGGGGTCCCTAGCAAGGAAATAAAGCCCACTAAGGTCTTAACTGACATGTTTAAACCAAAAACAGATTACATGTGATGAGTAGAGGCCTCCTTGAGCACAAGTCTTGAACACTTAAAAAAACAACACCCCAAGATCTTTAAGTAGCCGATAAACATATATAAAATGTTTTATACATATTAATTATCTAGGAAATACAAATGAAAGCCACAATGAAATAACTCTATTACTTTCCAGAAGGACTAACATTAAAAATATTGGTAATGCTGAGTGCGGACAGAATGTGATGACACAGGAACCCTCATAGGCTGCTGTTGAGAGGACAAATTAGTACAACCCCTTGGAAACAACTCTGGCTGTCCCTAAAGATGAAGCTGGCATGAATCTGCCTCTTCTGCCACAGGAAAGAAGGACTCTTCCATCCCCATCTCCCCAGAAGATGCTGTATATCTGCCTCCAGCCAAGTTCGAAACATCAGACTGTTCTTCCAAAAACATCCTTTTGCCCACCTCAAAGCTAAATTAGGAAGCATGACATGTTTTGGGCTGCCATAGATTTTCCACCTGAATGCTGGCATTGGCTTCTGTCTTCTCCAGTGGGACCAAAACCATCTGTGAAGGGAGATTCCAATATGCAGGCTAAGATCTCCTTGATCCATTTTTAAAAATCTCAATTGCTTTGGTTGGAAAGTCACAAAGAGAATGTAAAGATAGGCCCTCCTGCACAGTGTCAAGGATATGATCCTGCTTAATGGCAGAGATGGAAGGAGGCAAACCCTATCCTCTGCACTTGCTGTCCATGTTTGTGCTTAACCAGGCCGTGGGCACAGCTGCAGCCAAGGTTAGTGCCAGTGCAGGGGCTGCTGACCTTGAGTGAATCATCACTGTTGTCCGACCCCAACACACACATTGAGAAGGACAACTAGTCTTGAGACAACAGACAATGTAATCACTGGTGTAACAGGAGCAACACAAAATACCAGCATGATAGATGCAGATGGTGCTGGTATATGAGAGCAATTACAAAACTTTGCGAAGAGAAATTAAAGACCTAAAGAAATGGAGACATATCATAGATTAGGAGACTCAAAATTATCTCAACAACAATTTTCCCTAAATTCATCTATAAATTCAATGTAATCCCTAAGCTGATCCTAAAATATATATGGAAATGCAAAGGACCTAGAATAGCAAAAATAATTTGAAATAGAAAAATAAAGTTGGGGGACTGGCAGTACCCAATTTCAAAACTTACTATAAAACTACAGTGATCTAAAGAAGATAGCATTGGCACAAGAATAGAAATATGGATCAATGGAACAGAATTGAGAGTTCTGAAATTTAGGGTCAATTTTTTATAAAGATGCTAAGATAATTCAACCAAGCAAAAGTTAACCTTTTTAACAAATGGCCTTCGGACAATTGAATAGCCATAAGTAAAAAACAAAATAGCCCTTTCTGGTTTGGCTCAGTGGTTACAGTATTGGCCCATACACTGTAGGATCATGGGTTTGATTCAAGCACATGTGCCTGGGTTGCAGGTCCGATCCCTGGCCCCAGTCAAAGGAGGCAACCCATGGATATGTCTCTCCCTCATCTTTTTATCTTCTCTTCTCTTCTCTCTCTCTCTCTCTCTCTCTCTCTCTCTCTCTCTCTCTCTCTCTCTCACACACACACACACACACACACACTTTATTCCTCTCTTTCTCCTTCACTTCTGTCCCTCCTTCCCTTCCATTCTCTCCAAAAATCAATGGAAAAGGATTAACAAAACAAAACAAAAATATTAACATAGACCCTCGACTCACACTATGCACAAAAATGAACTCAAAATGATCCATAGACGTAAATTTTAAAGCTAAACCTACAACACATCCTAAAGAAACATAGAAAAAAAGTCTTCATGACCTTCAGTTAGGCAAAAGTTTTTAGATACAATACCAAAAGTATAATCCATTCAAATTGATAAACTGAATCAGGGCAAAAGAGGAGGAGTCCCATTTAAATCGTTTCCAAAAGCAGGGCTCCAGTGCTGCCTTACCAGGGGAGGAAAATAAGATTTTATCAGATCAAAGAGCTGCCTTACAAGATCTCCAAGAAAGAGAGATTCTGCTTAAAAATGTCAACATCACAGCATCTAATCAGGATGAGAATGATCTATAGCATAAGGCGATGGGTTCCCCAAGTCACCTGGAAGTTCCATCAGGGCCAAGCCTTTATTCCTGCTTTGTCTTCCACAAAAAGAAAGACTTGGTAAAGCACAGAAGGAGCCACTCCAAGAGCCAGCCCTCTACATATCCCAAGTACAAGAGCAGAAGGAGCTCTGACCTCAGGTGGAGTGGATGGTCCTCTGTAAGAAGCAGTGTTTCCAATGTGGTGAGTGATAGAAGAGCTACCGCATGAGGTGCAGCCTGATTGCGCACCACGTCATTCACACGGGGCAGCGGCCCTTCCGGTGCCCCGAACGTGAGAGAACCTTCCGGTGTAATGCCACTTTGAAGAAGCATCAGTGTTTGCACAAAGGTCAGAGACCATTTTCCTGCCAGGAGTGTGGCAAGGGTCTCACCCAGCAGTCCAAGCTCACTGAGCACGTCCAGGTGCACAGTGGGGAGAAGGCTTTCCAGTGTCCACAGTGTGACCGAAGCTTCCGCCTGCAGAGAAGTTTGAAGGCCCGTCTTCGCCTGCACAGTGGGGAGAAGGCCTCCCATGGTCCAGAGTGCAGCCGGAGCTTTTCCCGGAGGGAAGGCAGCTGTGAAGGCCCACCAGGTGTTTACACAGTGGGGAGAAGCTGTTTTCCTGAGATTAGTGTGATAGGAAATTCACCCACAGGGCTAGACTCACTGAGCATGTCAGAGTTCATACTGGAGAGAGCCCTTTGAGTGTCCTGAGTGTAAGAAAGCGTTCCACCTAAAGAGAAACCTAAAAGCCCATCTGTCAGCACAGCGGGGAGAAGCCCTTCCCGTGTCCAGAGTGTGGGAGGACCTTCTCCTGGAAGAAGCCATGAAGGCCCACCAGGGTCTCCATAGCGAGGAGAAGCCATTCTCCTGTGCACAGTGTGGCAAGAGGTTTACCCGGCCCTCCAAGCCCACTCGCCTCAGCCGAGTCCACAGCAAGCAAAAGGAATTCTCTTGTGCCGAGTGCAAAAAGACCTTTCCCCGGCAGTCAAGGCCCACGGAGCACCTCAGGGTCCACACCAAGGAAAAGCCATTCTTCTGTGCCGAGTGCAGCCAGAGCTTCCACAGACACTCACACCTCACTGAGCACAGGTGGCTTCTCAGTGAGGAGGATCCTTTCCAGTGTCCCGAGTGTGGCAAGAGCTTTTCCTGGAAGGCCTCCATGAAGTTCCACCAGCGGATGCACAGTGGCGAGAAGCCCTTCCCCTGTAGCGAGTGCAGTAAGGCCTTTACTCAGCAGTCTCAGCTCACTGAGCACACGAGAATCCACCTGGGGCAAGCCCTTCCAGCGTCCTGAGCACAATAAGAGTTTCCGTCTCAAAGGACATTTGAAAAGCCACCTGCTCCAACACAGTGGCCAAACCCCATTCTCTTGTGTTAAGTGTAGCAAAAGTTTCACTCGGCTGCAGTACAGGCTCACAGAACACATTCGAGTTCACTGTGGTGAGAAGCCCTTCCAGTGTCCAGCGTGTGACAAGAGCTACTCGTTCCGGGGAGTTTGAAGGTCCATTTGTACACGCACAGTGGACAGAAGCCCTGCAGGTGTCCCGAATGCGGCAAAGGCTTCCTCCAGAAGAGAAGTTTGAAGACCCATCTGCACCATCATAGAGGGGAGAGGCCTTTTGCTTGTGATGAGTGTGGAAGGAGCTTCACATACCTGGGGGCACTCAACACCCATAATGCTCCATTGCATGCCAGGGAAAAGCCATCAGTCTCTAGGTCAAGCCACACAGACAGTGAGCTCTGTTGGCTCGCTCTGGCTGAATCAGGATAAAGAATTCACAGAACACTGGCTTCAGACACATGGGCCAGATGCATAGGAGACCGGGTGTGACGCCTCCTTGACAATGGTTCCAAGTAATTTAGGCATAAGATAGTCAGGCATCTCCCCTCTGTAATCCTCACAGGCAAAACCTGCCAATCATGGAAGGAACATTTTATTCTGTTCTGTTATTTTATCCACTGTTGTGTCATCCAAAAGCATGATAATGCCTTCATTCAATTCTGTACCCACAGTCTCGGTGAAGAAATGTTACAGATGGAATTGTTTTCCCCCAAATGCCTCAGTGTGCTTTCCATTACTGGGCTGCCTTATTTAATTAAGGTTTTCCATCTTCTCACATAGTGAGTTTCATTTTCTCTCAAATGGTGAGAGGACATCTGTGTCTTGTGGGAATTTCTCTATATTGCTCAAAATAAATGTCATTTACCATCTCATTTGTTTTTAAAAAATCAAAACTCTTTTGCTTCAAAAGTCACCACCAATAAAATGACAAGTCAAGCCAAAGACTGATATAAAATTCTGTAAATCCTGTATCTAATAAAAGACTGGTATGCAGAATATACAAAGCACTCTTCAACTCAATAATAAGAAGGCAAACAACCCAACTTAAAGAAAAAAATGGACAAATTATTTAAGTAGACATTAGAGAAGATAAATGAATGGCTAATAAGCATAGGAAAATATACTCAACATCACTTGTTATTAGGGAAGTGCAAATTAAATTCACAATGAGATATCACTATACACCTACCAGAAGACATATAATTAAAAAAGACAACAACAAATATTGGCAAGGATGTGTAAGTACTGAAACCCTCCTACTTTGCTGGTGGTAATACAAGATAACAATTTGGCATTTCTTAATTCTACTCCTAAGAATCTATCCAACATGTATGTGAATGTTCTTAGCACCACCATTCAGTAGAGCCCCAATAAAAGATAACCAGGATTTTGATTAACTGGTGGCACATGGATAAACAAATGTGGTATATCCATACACTGGAATACTATAAAGCAACAATGGAATGGACCTCTGATATGTTGTACAGCATAGATGAATGTCAAAACCATGATGCCAAGTGAAAGAAGCCAGACACATAATACTGCCTACTGTATAAGTCAATTTACACAAAATAGTCAGAAAAGGAATATTAATGGAGACAGAAATCAGAAGCTGAGGTGGGAGTGGTGATTAGCTAACTGCAAAGGAGCATAGAGAAACTTTCTGGGATGATGGAAAAGTTCACAAACTGGATCATAGTGATGGATGCACAACTATAAACTTACTAAAATAAAAAAGATCGTTGTACACTTACAGTGAGTAAATATTATGATATGTAAATCATACCTTAATAAAGTTGTTTAAAATTTTATTGATTTATTGATTGATTTCAGAGAGGAAGGGAGAGGAAGAGATAGAAACATTAATAATGAGAGAGAATCATTGATCCACTGCCTCCTGCACACCCCACATTGGGGGTTGAGCCCGCAACATGGGCATATTCCCTGTCTGGGAATGGAACTGTGACCACCTGGTTCATAGGTCAACTCTCAACCACTGAGCAACACCAGCCTGGCTGTTGAAAGAATTTAAAGCCAAAATTCTTATGAAGAGATAACAATTCAGACATTGCTATATACATTTAATGATCAACTTTTGATGGAAATTAAATTAACTTCGCGCTGTCCTACAAAATTTGAGAGCTGTGTTTGTTGTCATTCTTAGGGACTTTTCAGGGAGCCCAACTATTAGGGGGTTTTAAGCAGCAAATGAGATCTTCCAGGATCATGGGTCAAGGAAGAGTCACAGAGCTTCCTAGTACCCATGGGGGGTGGGGGGGGGGTGAGATAAAATGCTTCTTCCTGATTGATTCCAGGAACCTCTAGAATTAGATAATTTCAGAGCACAGGTTTTTCCCAAATGACCATCTAGCTAGAACAAGGGATGGATCCAAGCAGATGGTTTGAGCCCGGGAGGTCTCATATCGGCTTTTGAATCCAGTTGGCTTCCTCCAGTAGTGCTGTCTCAGAAACTTCTATTCCCTGAAGTTCTCACTGTTGGTTGCTGAATGCTTGTTGAAGATATACTTTCAGAAATGAATGAGGGAAGTAAAACTCAAGTCTGCAGAAGCCAGTGTGGTTTGAGCATGGAAAATTACCTGTTATGTTAAGCCAGCGGTTCTCAACCTGTGGGTCGCGACCCCTTTGGGGGTCGAACAACCCTTTCACAGGGGTCGCCTAAGACCATCGGAAAACACATATATAATTACATATTGTTTTTGTGATTAATCACTATGCTTTAATTATGTTCAATTTGTAACAATGAAAATACATCCTGCATATCAGATATTTACATTATGATTCATAACAGCAAAATTACAGTTATGAAGTAGCAACGAAAATAATTTTATGGTTGGGGGTCACCACAACATGAGGAATTGTATTAAAGGGACGTGGCATTAGGAAGGTTGAGAACCACTGTGTTAAGCGAAATAAGCCAGTCAGAGAAAGATAAATATTACATGATCTCATTCATTTATGGAATATAGTGAACATAAACTGATGAACAAAAACAGATCCAGAGACAGAGAAACATTGATCAGACCGTCAAACCTTAGAGGGAAGGTAGGGGAGGGTGGGGGTAAGGGGGAGAGATCAACCAAAGGACGTGTAGGCATGCATATAAGCCTAACCAATGGCCACAGACAACAGGGGGTAAGGGCATGAGTTGGGGGGGGATGGGGGAGTAATGCGGGGATAAAGACACACATGTAATACCTTAATCGATAAAGAAATTTTTTAAAAAAGAAAGAATATTACCTGTTCTTGCCTTGCTCCCAGGAAACTTGATGCAGTTGGGAAAAGCATGTTCTGGTTCTGGCCATGTCACTTGCAGGGCATGTGACTTTGGGCCAGGTATTTAACTTTTCTAAATCTTAGCTTCCTGGCTTTTGTTGTTGTTGTTTTTTTGTTAACTTCACCAAGTTTTTAATCTTTTCATTTGTTCTGTCCACCTTCCCTCCATTCTGTTTAACATATTTATTATGGTTCATCTAAAGCTCCATATCTGGTGCCACCAATGTCTGAATCCTGAGTGATTCTGACTCTATTCATGCCTGTCAGTCTGCTTTGAGCGGGGTACAGCTTCACCAGCCATCTTTAGGACAGTGTTTCCATAATTTCTTTCCTATTATTTTACATTCTACCTTCTGTGTTCTTATATTTAACACATCTTACTGGTACATAGTTGGTTTTCTTTTTCATCAATACTTGGCAATGCTAATGTCTATATGAGGTACATGTTCCTGTTTCTTTGTAATTCTAATTTTTTAATTTTAATTAAATGTAATTCAAATACTCGACATTGTGCATTTAGAAAAAGGAAAGGGAAAGAGGTTCCATCCACAGACTGTTGCTTCCACCTGAGAAGAGTCCCCTGCCCTATGTTGGCTGATCACCTCCATCCAGTCAGGGGCCAGCTGGGTCCTGGCTGCCTTTGCAGTCAGACCTCAGACAGGCTCAGTCTCTCTCTCTCTGATCCTTATTTCCCAGGCATGGCCTTTGCCGTCCTGATTGAGAGCCTGGCCGGTCTCAAACTCCTCAGCCTTGAAAGCCTACAGGAGAGCTGGGGGGTCCCACCTACATCTCCAGCTTTTCACCTCAGGAGCTTCAGCCTGGCTCCTGTCTTGGGGAGGACAGGAGTGGTGATCTTGAGGCAGGTTCCTTCCTGTGGTGGGCCTTCCTTCCCTAAGCATTGGCGACAGCACGGCCACTCCTGTCCTTTAACTTCATGTTAGCCTAGCGTCTTGCCAGTCATTCATTCAGCTTGAAATTGTGCACTTGGGGCTTCTCAAGTTTCCTGTTTCTTCCAGATCCTGCCACACCTGAGAGCTTTACTGGTTCCTCTCTGCTCCTGTGGATGGCCTCTTTCTGAGCCAAGTCTGAGTCTCAGCCTGCATTGACAATTGGCAAATGTCCCCAGGGGAGAGGAGGGACAAAAACCTGTGGGCAACTTGGCAATATCACCTCATTTTGTAACAGTGTTGGTTCTCTGAAATATGTAGTTCCTTTAGTTCTCACTGCTCTCATAACTTTCCTACGCTGTGATTCCAAAAAAAAAAAAAAATTATTCAGGTTTTTCTGTTGATACAGTGCGAGTACTGGTCTACCATAACTTATGGTATACTACCCAGAAGTGAAAATGGAAAAATTAGTTTTTAATCCATTGGCAAGCAAAATTCTCTGTCAATATCCCCCTTCCCAAGTTCACAGTATCTATCAGGATTTTTGCTTCAACGCAGCTGATGGCCATCTTCAATACAATGTTTTTTTTCTCTCTGAAATATTAGTCATAGCATGTCATTGCTATCCTCTTAAAGGGCATTGGGCGGAAAAGAAGAAATCTGAACCTAGAGTCTTAACAAAGGTTAGCAAGGAAGGAGAGAGATACTCATAGGTAATAAAAATTTTAAATGACGTAGCAAAGAATGGGCTGGAGTAGAAATTGTCAGGTTGTGGTTTAACACTAGATTCTGCCCCATATGGATTACACTGGGAAAGCCATTTCTTTCTCCCAGTCTCAGTCTCCTGGCATTTGAATTAAGGTTTGTTTGGCACTAAAACCTATTCTTTACTCACTATTCCAATGCTGTCACCTGGAACATAGGGGACCCCTGACTTAGCTCTTATCTGTCCATTTGAAACAGCCCCCAATGCAATAGAAGTACTAGAAGGGCAGTGTGGTTTTCTGGCTTCTGTGGAAAACAGATAAATGACCTCTGAAGTAATTTCATCAGAGCTAGAGTGGAATGAGAGGGCTCAGGATTAGGGAGACGCCAAAAGTGCTGAAGACATAAAGATCTACCTTACTATGTCGCCCTGACCGGTTTGGCTCAGCGGAGAGTGTCGGCCTGCGGACTCAAGGGTCCCAGGTTCGATTCTGGTCAAGGGCATGTACCTTGGTTGCGGGCACATCCCCAGTGGGGAGTGTG